GAAACTGATTCTAAAAGGAGTGTCCACAAATGTGCCAGGCTTACATTTTGGTAACTTGCAGGAAGAGGTTATCATCTGCTGGTGAAATCTGCTAACCTTATTTTATTTTTAAACTTAGGGCTTGAGATGTCACTGTATCAATTGACTCATTTTAGTAGTTTTCTGCTTTGTTATCCTTAATATAAGTTGAAATGTTGCCTTTAACATTTTAATTTCAATGCTATCCTAACAGTTGTAGGGCCTACCTCATTTAAATCTATGCCCAGCACATGTAGAAAGCCAATGTTTTTCTTTCCAGACACATACTTCAAACCTGGTGACATGAAAACAGTGCTGCCTGATTGGATTTTCCCCTAACGAATGGACACCATAAAAAGGACTTATGTCCAGTATCAATTATTCATACTCCAACGACTGGTGCATACACAAGTTACAACCCACCTCTTTGCCAACAATAAAATGCAGCTTTCCCCTGAACAGAACGCAGGTTGCTGTCAAATAAAAATATATCCCGACTTTAACAATGGATATTTGCACCCATCCCTATGAGGCAGTGACACGTGGCCATTACTCGGGTGAAACATAGCTGTCAAAGCAAAACTGCCATGAGAGAGGCCAAAGCATTGCTTGAGATATTCTTGCTATTTCACCACCAGTCTCTGAAGTTTGAAGAAGAGAATGGAGGTAGAACATTTCTTAATCCTCCCTTGTTCCTCAGATCAGCACGGTCAACTGAGCAATTTGTTGCTAATGGCATATGTTAGGGTCATTAAATATCTGAAATGTTTCAAAAGTAATGATACCTTATGTAATTATAGATTTTTGTCTTTTGGATTGACCCTAAGGTACCCGAGGAAGCAAAATCTTGAGAAAAATACTGGCCTCTGTGGCATTTGGGGCAGGACAATTCCTTGTTTTACACATTGTCTTTGTGGATGCAAAATACCAGTGGTATCTCCCTAGGATTGTGGTATCTCCTAGGCACTTGGAACGCTGACACTGTAAAACAGCCCTCATAGTGAATAATTCACATTAGGAAAGGCAGTGTGGAAATAGAGGTAGAAGGAGAAGAATCTAGCTTCTTGTGATTATCACTTTGAATTTTAAGAATTTTATGCTTAAATTCAACTTTGCCCTATTAGAGCATTTGTGCAACTACATCTTATTTTCTAGTTTATAGTTCTCCAAAACACATTCAGAAATTAATTCACATGTACTTTTTTTTTTTTTTTTTAATTATATTTATTTTGGCATATTATGGGGGTACAGATTTTAGGTTTCAATAAATGCCCATTTCCCCCTCCTCCCAAAGGTCTGAGTCTCCATCATGACCATCCCCAGATGGTGCACATCTCACGTCACTATGTATGTATATACCCGCCCCCCTCCCACCTGCCAATACCCTATTACTGTAGCACCTATGGTGTCTACTTAGGTGCTACTCAGTTAATACCAGTTTGCTGGAGAAATTTAT